AGATTCTGTTTAGTTTTGGTAATAAGAAGTACGCCCTATATATTACTACATTACAGTTTTATAATCTTAATTTTTAAACCATTAGATACTAATTTGCATGTCGAATCATTACAAATGAAAACTATCATTATCAGAAAAAAGCTGTGAACCATCTCTTTATGTTTTGTAGCTATGTGTTTCAGACTATGAACTAGGACAAATTCCTCTTTGTCTCAGGTCAGGTGTATAACTCATTATTGGGCTGTGAGAGTTTTTTATTCTACATACAAGACTTTGCCAAGTACGTGTATTGCACATATATTTTCCCCTAATCTGTGGCTTTTTTCTCCCATTTTTCTTAAGTGTCTTTTTGTTTCATTTTAACTTTTTTATTGAGGCATAATTTATATGCAATAAAAGGTACACATCTCACTTCAATGAGTTTTGACAGTTGTATATGGTATGTAGCCAACACCAAAAACAAGATCTGGAGTATGTCCATATTCTCAGAGAATTCCTTTGTGTCTCCCTCCAGGCTATTTCCTGTCCCTTTCCCAGAAGTAACTACTTCCTGACTTTTGTCACTATAGTTTTGCCTATTTTTCTACTTCATACAAATGGAATCTTACAGTGTATTTTTGCGTGTTTGTCTTTTTTCACTAAAGACAAATGTTTTGTGATTCATCCATGCTTTTTTGCAGACCAGTAATTCATTGTTTTATTGCTGAGTAGTATGGCATTGTGTGAATACACCACAATTTGCTCATTTTCTTGATGATGAATACTTGGATTGTTTCCAGTTTTGCGCTATCATGAATAAGGCTGCTGTGAACATTCTGATACAAGTCTTGTTTTGGCCATGTTTTAATTTCTTTTGGGTAAATATGCAGAAGTATAATTGCTGGGTCATAGGGTAGATGAATTTGTAAAGACTAAGAGATTGTACCATTTTTCATTCTTACTAGTGATGTATGAGAATTTCAGTTGTCCTATATTTTTGCAACATTTCATGTTATGAATCTTTTTGATTTTAGCTATTCTAGTGAATAGTCTATTAAATATTCCAGTGAGCGGTATCTTTTGGTTTTTAATTTGTATATCCCTAAGGACTAATGATATGGAGCACCTTTTCATGTTTACTGGCCATTTGTTTACCTCCTTTTATAAATAAAACTATCTGTTCAAATCTTTTGCCCATTTTTAGGTGTTTTTTTTTGCGGGGGTGGGGGGAAGTCCTTGCATTATTTACTTGTAAGTGTTCTTTTCATGTTCTGGACATGAATTTTGTTGTCAGACAATGCATTGAGAAATATTTTTTCCCAAACTATAGCCTACTTTTTCATTTTCATAATGGTATCTTTTTTTTTTAAGATTTTACTGGGGAATTGGGGGAGGGAACAGTGCTGGGTAATTGGGGAAGGGGAACAGACAAGTTGCTGTCCTTTTGTTCTTCAGTCTAGTTGTGGAGGACGTTGCTTCACTGGCCCATGTTGGTATTATCATTGTGCTCTTCCTAGCTGAGGCAGTCGGTCGCCGGCCACTGGATGGCTGTTCATGGCAGCTCACACTGGCTGCCGGCCGCTCACGCTGGCTGCCAGCCACTCACGGTAGCTTAGGCAGCTCACTGCAGTCCCACTGCAGCCTACACTGTCACCGGCAACTCACAGCAGCCCAGCTCCAGGTTGAGCTGTTGTTCACCATCTTAACTGTAGAGGGCGCAGCCTCACTGGCCCATGTGGGATTCGAACTGGAGGCCCTGCTGCTCAGAGCTCACGCTCCCAAGCCAACACTTAGCCAATGAGCCACTCAGCCGGCCCCATAAAAGTATCTTTTGATGAGCAGAGATTTAATGATTTTTGTTTCCTGTCCAAGAAATCTTTGCCTACCTCAAATTTGCAAAGATATTCTCCTATGTTTCTTTTAGAAGCTTTATGACTCTGGATTTAAGGTCTATGATCCAAGCATAAATACTTTTTGTGTGTGAATTTAGTTGATTCCCCCCCACCCCATACTAGATATGTTTATCTAGTAGTTCCAGCACCAACTGTTGTTTTTTTGTTTTTTTTTTAATGTCCTTTCCCCATTGAATTGATTTAATTTGTGGGCCTGTTTTTAGACTCTTCATTCTGTCTCACTGCTCTGTTTGTCTATCTGTATATCAGTATCACACTGTGAAATTTAGAGTAAATCTTGAAATCAGTAGAGTAAGTCCTCCAACTTTGTTCTTTTGCAAAATTGTTTTGGTTGTTCTGAGTCCTTTGAATTTTCATGTATTTATAATCAGCACGTCAATTTCCACAAAAATGCCTGCTAGGATTTTTTTGGAGTTTGCATTTAATCTATAGATCCATTAGGGATAGATAGATACCTATAATGCTGAGTCTTCTACTTCATAAACATGGTGTATCTCTTCATTAATTCAGGTTCCCTGTAATTTCTCTCATTTATGTTTTACAGTGAAGAGGTCTTACGCTTCTTTTGCTAATTTGTTTCTAAGTATTTCATGTTTTTCCATGCTAGTGTGAATGAAATAATAAATTCATCTTTAAAATAACATCTAGCTATTTTTAGATGTTTTCCTACTGACTTTAAGAAAATTAATCACAAAAGCAGTAAACTGTACTGTACAGAGTTAAAGAAAATAAGAAAAACACTATATTTTCATCACTAAAAATATCACTATTAACATCTGTCTTTATCTATACACAAAACATCCATATACACATTGTTAACCAAATGAGATCATATTGTATAGACTGTTTTGTAATATGCTTTTTAAAGAAGTTAACCTCTACCTTTTCATGTTAGTAATATTTCTATCTAAAATATAGTTTTCCCAACTATTCCAAAATGTGCTTTACAGTTGTTTGTCTAAATCAGAATCCCAATGCAGAAACATGAGCTGCATCTGTTTGTTACATTCATAAGTCTCTTTCAATCTAACACAATAAGATATGGTGATTTCTATTACGATGGTTACAACTTATTTAACTATAAAGCATATTATTAAGTGACCATGGAAAGGTAATTTTTCCTCAAATAAGTACATTATTTTTAAGGAGATGTTAGCTTATATCTGGTATTAACACTATGATTTTAGAACTGGTTTACATAAAATGAAATTAAGGAGAATCATCATCTGAAAAATAATAAATTATTTATAACACAGTCATACACTGCTTAACAATTGGGATGCATTTTGAGAAATGTGTCATTAGGCGATTTCATTGTTGTGCAAATGTCATAGAGTGCACAAACACAAACCTAGATGTCATAGCCTACTACTGTAATTGTATGTGTTATACTTTATACGACCAGCAGTACAACAGGTTTGTTTACACTAGCATCGCCACAAACATGTGAGTAATGTGTTACACTATGATTTTATGAGGGCTAAGAAGTCACTAGATGATAGGGATTTTTCAGCTCCATTATAATCTTATGGGACCATATACATGAAATGTATATGTTGACTGAAATGTCGTTATGCAGTAAATGACACTATTTTTCCAGATAATGTCCACATTATTTCTCCATATTTTCTCAGGGACAAACATATATTGAGAGAGAAGCCAGTGAAAAAATTTAAATCCCTTCACTTATTTTAACATGTCAATGAAGTTATCAAGATTTTCAAATAAGGCAAGAGAATAAACATGTTAAAAATTGAATGTGATTAAACATCATGTATCAGGGAGAGAGCTCAAATGGTTATACATGTTAGCATGTGGAATAATGAACATAACTTTCAAAAGTTCCTTTAAAAAAAAACAGGTAATAAGATAAAAAACCCTGTGAACTAGGTAAGGATCTCTATAGAGGCTGTTAAGAACCATAGAAGGGGGCAAAGTACTTCTGTTGTATAATAATTCATTAAGAGATAGAGGCAAATAGTGGTTGGTTGATCCTTGAAAAAAGAAAGACTTTAGTGACAGAAACTCTACTGACTGTCACAAGATCAGTAGTGCTACTGTGGTAGTGCTACTAATGTCCCTTCTTGGAAGAGAGGTCAGTTGGTCTTCTCCAAGCCATCAACAGAAAATAGAAATAGAACCCTTGTTTTCCCAATCTAGCTACTTCCTAGCCTTCTCTTTTGAAGCAATTATTTCTAAAATCTAACGCTGAATTATTCTTATTTTGTTTAGTGTTCTTTATACTTCTAATATACTATTTAATTATGAGATTGTGGCAAAAGTTCTTAGCCTGGCTTCAAGAAATCAACAAATCCCTTGAACTTATATAAAGAATGTGTGTCTGTGCATTTTTCTAGTAAGTGAATAGCTTTCAACAGATTCTCAATGGGGGTCCATAAGATTAAGAACCACTAAGACAAACTGGCAACTAGCTAGATTGGCAGTTTTTCTAGCACATGCTATTTGATCGAGGTATAAAAAAACACTGCCAACTTTCAATTATAATGAATAAAAGACATTAAATAAAACAATATAATTAGCTTTAAAAGTAGTCAGAGATGTATTCTCTTAAAAGTATTTTTCAAATTGCAAATTGTGACCAATTAGTGTCTAGCATTTAAAAAATACGTTTATGACATATTAAAATTATTTATTTTAACGGAGCACAATCAACCATGAATTGATAACTCCAAACTAGTCACAGAAGTAACTTTGAAAACAATCAACAGGCTCAGAGTCTCTGATAAGTGTGTGACTATCACATTGAATACAGTTACAGAAAATGTTTTCTGCGGTTGAATTAACCAGTTTAATAAAATTGGTACGATAATTTAAAAAGAAATTAATCTATAGTATAGCCTGGGTACAGGAAATTAAAAAAAAAAGAAAAAAGGATATAGATTGTATTCACCATGATGACATGCTAATTTCAGTAACCAGGCAGCGAGGATCAATTTGAAAGCAGTGTTAGCTCACTCTAGCCAAACATTGGCTGGCAGCATAAATTGACTCTCAGAAGTTAAGTTAAAAATGATCTGGTCATCAAATGGATGACAAGGCACTCTAGGCTTTATAAGGCTTAGTGGTCCTTTATAAGTCATGACTTACCTGTCTGGACTGGCACTGGTATAGGAATCTGGCTCTTGACACATGAGCTTGTGGATTGGACTGGAGGCCTATGTACGCCCATAATACCTGGATCTCCAGGGAAACTGGTATGACACAGCAGGAAGTACAATGCATAGCCTACAGAAAGATAAAGAAGCATCTGCTTGAATTGCTGATGGTTGTCTATAGTCAGTCACCATGCATTAAGTAGCCATTGTTTCTTAAACATTTTAAAATAACAGAGAGGGCACTGTGGCTTAGAGAAAGAACACAAAGTTTACCACAGACCACATCATTGTCCTTGATCTTAGGAAAATTAATATTCTAAAATGGAAATTACTAGATTAATAAAACATGAGCCCATATACAATGGTTATAAGAAGTACTCAGTGAGTGGTGCATAGTCAGTGTTATGGAATGCCAGAAGAGACATCCATTTCTGGTTGAGGATGGCTTCATGGAACTGGAATGAATAATATGTGATTGGAAGAAATGTTGATTAAAGGAAAATTCAGGTAGAGATATGGTAATATAAAAAGGTATACAAGTAGAACAGCACATGATGCTATGGAAGGACATTAATTGATTAATGTGAATCATAGTTATTGAATATCTCCTGTGTGCCATGCACGTTCCAGGTACTGGCCCTGAGCAGACCACTTTACTGAAGCAAAGGACCTGAACACAGGAGCAGTGAAAGGTTAAGGAAGACATTTTAGTGTTAGATGATGAAGTCCAACCAAGTAGTCTGACTCTAGGAAGATTAATTCCAAGATGCAGGAAGGATTAATGGAAGTGAGGATTATCAGTCAGGAGGTTACTATAAATTAGCAGATATAAAATATCCTCAAATATGCCTTGTACCTTTTTAGCTTCATACTTTTTTATAGTAAGGCTTAGACACAGGTAATAACATATATAAACTAGGAATAGAAGACAGACCATGTTTATGTTTAATTTATTAAGGAACTGTCATACTGTTTTCCAAGTGGCTGCACCACTTTGCAGTCCCACCAGCAATGACTGAGGGTTCCAATTTCTCCACTTTCTTGTCACTAACCAACCCCTTCCTGTATTCAGCCATGTATCACCCAAAACCACACTCCCTCAGTATGGCTTTGAGGTTTAAGAGAACTCAATTTGACTCCAGTTGCTTAAAGGCTGGATCAAGTACATGTGTTTTCTTATCCTTCCAAATCTCCTTAAAAGGAAAGAAGTATACAAGGAATAAAGTTGTAATTGTGCTGAGAAAGGGAAAAATGGCAGTTTAAAAATAATTTCTAAGGGGAAAGGCCTTTCAAAATCTGAACTAAAACTCCAATGTGAAAAAATGATTGATGAATTTCACAACAGAAAAATCAACTTCTGCATGGCAAAAAACACCATAACCAAAGTCAACGAACAAATAACAAACTGTGAAAAATATCTGCAAATCATACCACAGAAAAGAGCCAATTTCACACAAAGATTTCCTATAAGTCATAAGACCAGTAACTCAATAAAAATGGGCAAGTGATATAATTAGATAGTAAAGAAAATACAAATTGTTCAACCATATGTCAAGATTACTCAACCTTACAGAGAAAAAGGAAACTCACTGGGATGCTATTTTTCACTTATCAGGTGAGCAAAGATGAAAAAGTTTGACAACAGTATTGATGAAGGTATGGGGTAACAAGCAATCTCATGGAGGGTGGGACTGTAAACTGGTACAACCTTTATGGGAAATGAATTAGCAAGACTTATTAAATTTTTAAATGCATATACCCTTTGATCTAACAATTCTATTTCTAGGATTTATCACATAGGTTTATTCTCACATGTATGAAATGGTACCTGAATGAGGTTATAAAATGTTGCATTGTGTATAATAGCAAAAGACTGGAAACATGAATGTCCACCAACAAAACTGGTTAAATAAATTAAATTATGGTTCATGTGTATAATGGAGTATTATGCAATTATACTATGCAAACAATGAGGAGGCTTAGTACATACTGACATGTAACGAACTCTAAGATCAAGTGAAAAAACCAAGGTGCAGAGCAGTGTTTATGATATTATATCATTTGGATTAAAAAAAAAAGAATATAAGAGTATTTACTTGTGTGAGCATGTATTATCTATGGAAGGAAAGAAACTAGTAACTTCGGTTGCCTCTGTGGAAGTGAAGAGCTGCCTGGGAGAGAGATTTTTATTTTGTACTTCCTGAATTTCAAACCAAGTGTATGTATTACTTATACAGAAAAATAATTTAAACTTTTAAATAAAAATAAATAAAATTAAAGGTAGAGCTGACTAAAGTTAGGAGGTAGGGGGTAGGCAAAAGAAGACAGAATAGCACAGCAGGTTTCCTTTTTTTACTTAGGCTGTGCATGGACCTAGTGGGCCACCAGAAAAAGTAAAAGCAGAAACAGCTAAATGAGGTTACTCTGGGGTGGAGGTATCAAGGTTTTTACTTTTCATTTAATACCATTCTATATGGTTTGAATTTTTAACCTGTTAATGTATATTTTTATTAACTGTAAATGTAAAAATATAAATTTTTATAACAAGAGAAAGAACAAAATTTCAACCTCAAAGAATCTGTGCTAGCCAACATTCAAGAATATAAGAGAATATTTGGTATATAGGTGAAATATATTTATTTTTTCTCACTATGAGTAAGGTTGATTTTGAACCAAAGAGCATGGTTTTATAAATCTCTGCATTTTCTACCTTCAAATTTTTCCCCAAGGAAAGTAAGTTAGGTATAAACCTAACCTGAAATCATGACATCAAAGGGGCATGATTTCTTACATTCTTCTTCTTAAGACCTCATTCTCTTCCTTCTATGACAACCACATCATCTAGGGAAATAGGGCTGGTTTTAATATTAATATCCATAATTTACAAACAAAAGGGGAAAGTGAGTCTCGGTCACAAGATGTATTTCTCTCCTTACTGAAACACTGCAGTTCCTGCTGAGGATCCTGGTCCACCCTCCCTTCTGGGCTGGGTCAGCGTCACCAAAGATGGCGACATGCTCTGGCCTGGGCCTTCCATGAAGAGTCTGATACATCTCCTGCTGCAAGTGGCTGCAGTCCGCCTTTTTTAGCCTGAAATGAAACACCATGGAGGCTGCAGTCCAATGCTAACATACTAATATAACCATCTTAATGTATGAATCCAAAAGTTAGAAATAATACTATAAAATAAATTGGAGGAAAATAACGCTTAGTTGGTATAAAGGACTGTCAGAAAACTCTTAACAATGTTATTTAGGTTATGCGACTATTCCTAACTAGCATTCTCTGAACTCTCATTCAAAATATGTTACCACATCAACATAATCCCTACAGAGACAAAACTGTAGGAAATGATGCGGAAGCCAAAGAATTACCTGAACTTGCACCCAGACATTGCATTCACTCCAAATTGTATTTCGTGTCTCTTAACAGAGCACGTTCCATCACCCTGGCTCTGTAAGAGGGTCATCTGAGGTGAAAAGTGATGGTCAAGGAGATCATAACAGGAAAAAAACCACGCAGATTGGAAAATTTATGCTTATTGTTTCATTAACACTATATTTTATTACTATCATGATATCGTTCAAGTCACAATTTGTATTCTTCCTCCGGTAATTAAAAAACACAGAGATAACTAGTGATTTTCCACACACTGGCATATAAATACCTCATTAAAACAAAAATCAGTCACCATCTTCTCACCTTTGGCCAGTCTAACATCAGTTTTAAAGCCCTTCATTGCATCAACATTTGAGAACATAATGTATTAATGGTTTGGTAAAGGAAGTCATGGATACCTAAAAAATGGGGGGACCTCAGGATTGGAAAATCTAAAAAATCAGCAGCTGCAGTTTTCTCATGAGGCTGTAACAGGCCACCCAACTCCAAGAAGGATACTGCGTGACTTAAGTCATCAGTTAGAGCCAAGAGTGGTTTCCCAACAATGTAGCCGGGATTTCCACTTCTAGGACCAGGAAGAGCAGCAGCTGTGCTGTGTCGGAAAGCCTGCAGAAAGAGTGAAGAAAAGTCACAAAGGAGAAAAGCATGTTCTCCCACCTGTACTGCTTGGCTTCATGCCCTTCCTAAGGCAGTGCAGTAAGTTAGATGCACTGAGCAAATCGACTTCCTTCTACAGTGTGGTATTTTGCAGAAGTTTTTACTCCAATGACTTTTCCTTTCCCTCCCCCCCCAAAGGAAGCACTGCATGATCTGAATATTGAAATTTACTATATGCTACTCTACCAAGGATTACAACCAAGGATCTATTAACCCTGTTTCTCAAAAAAAATTTTAGGGCTATGTTCAGCCTGACTGAAATGAAAGGAATTTAAACATAATTTAGAAATATATTTTAATTAACTATAGATGTTCCAGAGATGAACTCTGAGAGACATGAGATTTGGTTGACCACTTGACGGCAGAGTTGGGAAGAAACTAAACTGTGCTGGGCTCAAAACGAAGAAAGAAGTAGAAGAAAGCCAAAAGATGGTGATCAAGATTAGAAACTTAGGTTAAGTGGGAAAGGAATAAAACTCTGAATGCCATCACATTATATTTTTTACATGTTCATAAATACACATAGGCAAAAATTCATGCTCATTGCAAACATGTAAGTGCAAAGAATACAGAAATATAAAGAGCAAAAGTGAAAAACAAACAAACAAAAACCAAACAACCAAACTGGCTGAAATATGAGAAAAGCTAGTTAAAGAATTTCTGTGGGATGTTGGCTGAATTTATGATTCAAAATGACTATTTAAAAAAAGAGTTGGAGTTGAGATTGAAGTCCTGCTTTGCTGGGGGCCAGATAGAGAATCAGAGAAAATGTTAATGAATAAACACTGTTGAATCCCTATCACTTCTAGTTAAATGCTGGGATAGTAAATGTTGAGGCCTCAACTGATAGATTGAACTAGGCCTTCATATTCTATTTCGCATGTGTTACAGAAGCAGAGTAACTATTTCTAACCCAATATTTCTTCCCGTCTCGATCCCATATATAATCGAAAGGCCCTAACCCTGAAGCGAATGATGAAGTGTTGCTGTAAGGAAGTGCCTGGCTCGACAGTCAGGTTGGTTTGTTCAAAACTGACAGAGACTTTCTGGATTCCAGAAGTCCCATTGGTCTCTATCTCATAGGTGACCTGAAAAACAAAAGTAGAATCAATTAATAAAAATCATTTACCAGGTCCATTATGTTTAAGACAAAAGATTTTCTGTCTTTAAGGGTTTTATTATAATTGAATGAAGGTGACCATCGTTAACAATATTGTATACTTGAAAGTTGCTAATAGAGTAGATCTTGAAAGTTCTCATTACAAGAAAAAAATTGTAACTGTGGTGATGGAGGTTAACTGAACTTACTGTGGTAATCATTTCGCAATATATACATATATCAAATCATTGTGTTGTACAGCTAAAACTAATATATCAATTATTCAAAAAAAATAACTGAGGGAGAATAAACAAGTAACCTTAAAAATGCCAAACACAAATACCACGAAGAGATAAAGTTGACTTCGTATTATATCTACACATTAAAAAAGAGACTAGACAGAGCTTTCTTAAAGGGTTAATGGGAGAGGTGAGTTTACGGGAAGAATTGAAAGGGAAGAAAAATAAGTTTTGATTGTGTGCAGAGGAAGGTGGGTAGAAGCCCAGGCAGAGGTGATCATGGAACAGAAACATGGTTTACTTGGCTGTCGCCACGTCTGAAGAGAATAAAGATAATAGCTGAAGAAGGAAGTTAGAAGCTTGAAAGTAACCTTAGATTTTTGTGCATAGTCTTTAAAAATTATGCTTTAAAATAATTCTTACTTCTGTATGTAGATTAGAAGAGAAAGAATAGAGGAAAACAAGTTGACTAGTCTATTTCAGCTTTTCGGATGATAACTGACTTCGTCAACAGAAGAAAATGTGGTAAGACCCATAATAGACTGCATATGGACAAAGAATGAGGAGTGAAATAATCTTAATGTTCTGCACATGAAATACTGGAAGATGGTGGCGATGCAAATGACTGAAACATGGTAGGGAGGAAGGGGATTTGCTCAATTCTTGCCATGTTAAGTTTCAGATAATGCACAAAAATTCATGTGGAGTTGGTCTGGTACTTAATGGAAGACGAAGCACCCCTGGCAATGTTGATCAATATACATCAGTCCAGGACCTGAGGTCAGCATCCCTACCTGGGAAACAACATTCTGACAAGTGTTTCCAGCCAACAGAGGAGAACCAGCCTTTGTGACAAGTGTTACAGGAACCTGGAGCTAGCAAGGGAAAGAAGCAAATAAACTAAAATGGAAAGGCAGCATTTTCTCTTCTAGCCACATGAGTATTACACAAATGAGTCTTTTTCACTTTTTACCATCACCTTTATCCTTCCATTGCCAGCCTACAACATAAGTTCAAGTCATTCTAAATCAGCATGTCTCAGAACATATTTCTCAGAACATTAATTCTATTAAATATAAAATAAAGGTTTCATGGTCAAATAAGTTTTGAAATACTATATGTGATACTCGCCTCTTAGAGATTAACAAGGCCCTCTAGCAAATTAAAGACTCCAAGAAGTCCACCCTAAATATAGTGTTTAACTTTATTGAACCCAATGTTTCCCAAACTTACCTAGTACCTTTTGAATTCTTATTTCATATGATGCTTATTAACCATATAGAACATTAATTATATGGAAAACATTGTTTTAGATTCACACTTAACAGATTAATATATCATACATACATTTTCTTTCACCATTACAATCTAGACTGAGATTGCCTGATATGCAAAGGGACTGAATAGCCTCTCTACTTTTTCCTGATAAATAGCATCATACCTTCATATCCTGCAGATCAGTCATACCTCTTGGAACCTAGAATAAGAAAACAGTAAAAAAAAAAAAAAAATGACTATCCATACACCTTAGAGAAAAATTTCCAGGAGCTTGTGGTTTCACATATTGGGGTGGGGAATCAACACATTAGAATGATTTGCTTCCTCTCTTCTACCTGACTTTTTATACTAAAATGCCAGGAGTAAAGCTGAGGGGAGGCTGGATGGACTGCGATGCACACCCACCCTGAACAGAGCTCTACTGAAAGGCAAAAGCAAGAAGTTTTGCTGAAATAGTGAGACCACCCTTCCCACCTCCCAAGCCAATATCATTAGCCAGGAGGGTGAGAATCTCTTCTTTTACCTATCTAGCCCAAATTCTTTCATCTTCCTTCAGATGACAGGGTTTCTAGGCCCTCTGCCTTTTATGTAGCAATTGGGTATTTTCCAGTTCAGTGCTTTTCCCACAACCCGACAGTTGGAAGCTTGTTGACTTTAAACCCACAGTGGTGACAGTGGGGAGAGAAGGGATACCCACCTTCAAGACTGTGAAGTTATAGTAAGAGGCAGCATTGAGGGCTGGATCCAAGGTGCAGCTGTTTGCTAGGTCCTTGAAGAAACGAGCACAGGTTGTACTTTTACTCTCTAGGAAGCCTTAGAACAGAAAGAATTAAGGGGGTGGTAAATGAGAAAGCCCATTTTGAACTGAACAAAAAGATTGGCATTTCTGCTCTGGACTCACCTGCAGGATTGCTCTCAGCACAGAGTCCCCCAGCTCCAACTCCTGCAGGCTGCCTCAGCAAGCTTATTACAGACCATCTGGAGAAGTAAGTCAAAATGGGGTCCCCAGCCTGAACAAAGTAGAACAAAAATGCATTCACAGTGAGAGCGGACTGAAGTCCACCAGAAAAGAAAAAGTAGAAACAAAAATTAACTCAATAGCTTGTTAATGTGGACAATAATGCCCTCTAAAAGAGCTAACAATGGTTTACCTAACTGCAGCAGGGTACCTCAAAGACACCCGGGCAGCTGTCGGCTATGAGGAAAAAAAATCAAACCAATCCCATCCCCTTCCCCAGGCTCACCCTGTAAAAAGGTGGTGGCGATTGGGTTTGGAATGTGGAAGTAAATGATTTGCCTTCAAACTCTGTAACCAGGGCCTGGAAGTTGCTTGCATTGACCTTTTGGAGCTCCTGGAAATAGTTTAATTTTGCTAAAATGTTTTTTAAAAAGAAAAGGGATTTAGATAAAGAAAAACATTTATTTTTAAATATCTTGTATACCAAGTAACTAATTTTTAAAAATATTTTTATTGAGGCATAATATATACATATTAAGTATACAAATGCACTAATCTTAAGTGTAAACTCAAAATAATTTTTACAAATTTATATACTTTTATTACTATTACTCAGTTTACAGAACATTTTCCAGAAGGTTCCTAATCAATACTCCATCTTCAGAGATAAAAACTGTTCTGATTTCTATCACTTTCTAATTGATTTGTAATCTATTAAATGAATCATTGTTTTAGTATTAAGATCTAAGATGAGACTATGGCCAATGAATGCCAGGCAGTTCGTGATGAAAAGAAGCTCAATAATACTAACATCTGCCCTATACCAAATGTGTCTCTAGTGTAACAAAACAGTAAATGAGTTGCAAAAGACCATAGAGCCATCTGGCAGAGCCAGGAGTAGATCACAGATCTCCTGATTTCTGGTCTCCATTCCACTCTGTCATGCTGTACAGACTTTGACTAAGAATGTCTGTTCTTTATAATCATTATCAAGCAAATGCTAAGCACTATGTACAAACAGAGATCTGGTCCGTCTTTTCTAGGTGCTGATAATTTACCCTGGGAGATACAATATTCATATAAACACTCAAAGTATCCTATAGTTTCCAAGGGAGTGACACTCAGGTGTTGTTGGAGGAAGGCAGTTCAGAATCACTGGTCCAGAAGTAGTGGCAGGATGGTATATACAGGAGGCAGGAGGGGAGATTAAAAGCAGGGAGGGCCAGTTGGATGCTATTGCAATAGCGCTACAGCATAACAAGGCTGGGGCAGCCACAGACTTATTACAAGTCCCCCCAAACTGAAAATTGGTTGCTTTCTGAAATAAATATAGTTTTGCTATTTCTTTTTTAACAGTCAGATGAAATCAGGATGAATTAACTTTCAGGGTATAAGGGACATTTAAGTCTGTTTTGTGTGAGAACATTATTTTGCTTCTTAGACAATAAAATAGAGACACATTAGCCTCATATCTTTAGAAATGTCATAGCTATCACGGACAAACTTCTAAGTCTATTTAAAAACCTAATAACAACCACCACTTCTCATCGTTATCGCACTGTACAGTTATAGAGCACTTTCACATCCAGGGCTAGTGTTATTTTTGCAGTTGAAGAAATGAGACTGGAAACGCAAAGGGATTTGCCCAAGTCTGTGCAGCTGGTAAGTAAATGGAAAGGTTGAGATGCAAGTATAATACTCTTTCCCCAACACTGATGTCTCATAAAATAAAAACAAGCTTGGTACAGACTCATTATTCAAAGACATTCATTCAAGTGTTATTTGGTGCCTCCTATGTATCAGATACTTGGGATTCAGTGAATGCCTTCATGGAGATGGTAGCAAGTGGGGAAATAGAGTCGATCTGTAATTATCTGAGCTAACAGGGATGATTGAAATTAAAGTTTTGTATGGGTTTTCTGACCCATAGCCAATAGGGGATAAGAAATTCCAAATGTTCACTAATAAGAAAGAGAGGGGGCAGGTGGGGAGGCACAAGGAGAGGAAGGATGATAGAAATTCAAGGCACAAAAGAAAAAAGTTTAAAAAACAAAGAAAAGGACAGAGATAAAGCCAATTTTCAATAAATATTAGGCAATAAGGACAGCCAACATATAACTACTCACAGTTGTTCACATGGACACAAAACTGCGTAATTCCATTTGGATCCATGAAAACTCTTGAAGGAAATGGGGAATTACTCCTGAAGATTAGAGAGCTGTCCACACACACCCAACTTGAAGACCTGTGTGGAAAAAGAATGAAGAATAAATACACTTAGAAACACAGGGTTAGGTCCAAAGAAGGGTGCCCCATAGATGTCAGCAAATTGCAAAGTGAGGACTCCTTGGGCAGCCACAGGACAACACGAAGGTTCCGTTCTACTGCACAGCCCTGCTCTAGAGAATCAGAAGAGGCAGTCACTCCTGGGAAAAACCAAGGTAATTCCATTTATAGGAGTGGAAGTGGGGGAGGAAGGCAAGAAGGCTAACTCTTCCTACTTCCAAATATTACCTATTCTAGGGCCCCAATCCCCTTTAGGAGTCAATCTGCACAACGCAACGCAACTCACCTGACGCTGCCTGGAAGGCAGAAGGAGAAAACTGTTCTCGGATGAAGAAGATGGCAGTCCTTGTCGCAGCAGCAATTTATATCGCAGGTACCAGGAGTCAAGTCACAGACACAGATCGGCAGGACTATGAGGGTACAACATAAAGGCAGAGAGAAAGGGATGAGGATCCCCTAACGCTTCCAAGTGCGAATTCCCCTCTTCGGACTGCCCCACTCCTCACTTTGTGACAATTCGCTTTTTTGACAGAACTTTAGACCTAAGTCAGTAGTTTCCATGCCCACATCTCCTCACCCGGGAAGAGGTCCGCGGTCCTATTCCCAGGCGCCGAAGGGGTCACGACAGTAGGGCCCACCGTAGAGCTCCCAGGCACGGGCCAGGGAGTTTCACTCCCCTCCGAGGACTGAGGTGTGCCACCCTGCGACCCTGGCCCCAGGTCCGAAGGAGTGGGCACTGTCCCTGGCAGGGGGGAAGAGGGCTGAGGACGGGCGCCCTCGGGGACCATCAGGAAGAACACCTGCAGTAACACTAGCGGAGAGGCGCACATAGGTTAGTCGAGACTTCCAAGAGTTTGAAGGTGGATTTCCGCGGTCGCCAGACGCGTCGCTAGAGGATTGAGGGGCAGGGAAGAGTCGCATAGCGTCTGACGCCATCCGCATGTATCTGCTCATTGGCTCGTGGTTATAGCGGAGAGCACTTCAGCCAATAGAAAGCGGCGTTGTTACGGCTCTTTCAGCATCGTTTAGTCTGCGCCTCTCTCCTTAGGCCAGGGCGGACACTGAGTGCGTCGCTTGGCAACCGACAAACTAGCGAGGCGCTCTTGCCCCTTCTCTCCGCTAGATGACAGTAGGAGTTCAAAGTGGATACCAGTGGAGTGGGGTGCAGAATTCGCGGCGGAAAAACCTGAGCCCTTCTTTTGATGAAGGGAAAGCCCGGAGGCTGGAACTAGAATTGCATATGTTTTCCACCCAACTTTCTAAGCAAGGATAATGATCTCGGGGAGGAAAATACATGGAAGGTTGCATACCTTAAAAACAAAACAAAATTAAAAAAAGGGCTAGCCGAGTGGCGTGTTGGTTAAGAATTGGCTTGGGATGCCAGCTCTGAGCAGAAGTACCCTGGTTCAGATCCCACATGAAGACCAGTAATGCTGAGCCCTCTATAGCTAAGATGGTGAACAACAGCTCAACCTGGAGCTGGGCTGCCGTGAGTCGCAGGCAATGGCCTAGGCTGCAGTGGGGCTGTAGTGGGCTGTCGTGAGTGGCTGGCAGTCGGCGTGAGTGGCATCCCAATGTCCAGCGAGTGACTGCCTCACCCAGGAAGAGCGCAATGATAATACCAACATGGGCCAGAGAAGCGACGTCCTCCACAGCTAGACTGAAGAACAGAAGAACAGCAACTTGTCTTTTCCCCTTCCCTGATTCCCCAACGCTGTTCCCCTCCCCCAATTCCCCAATAAAATATTTTTTAAAAAGAAGTCTCATCTGAATATTGTATTGGGGGAGGGGGACAGAAAAATGCAGTTCGTTATATTTTAACATTGCGAAATTACAAAAAAAAATTAAACCTCAATAAATGCATGAACCCATTAAATGTGTGGACTGCATATTTGTTACTAGAAAAAATAGTGAGAGAAGGAGATTGAGAAATGCAGTAGGGAAAAATGTGAGAAGACAGAATGAGTAAGATAAGGAGAGACATTTTCTAGGAGATGAAGAGAAAGGAAGCAGGAATGGAATGAGCCAAAGGATGGAGAAGAAAACGTATTTTTTTGCTATTATAAATCACCACTTTTTGTAGTCCTCTTGAGCAAGTTATGGTTCTTCCTAGGAGTGGTGTGCCTCTTCTGATTCTCTAGAGCAGCACTGTCCAACAGAACTTGCCGCCATGTTGGAAATGTTCTCTATCTATACTGTTCAATATAGCAGCCACAGGCTATTGTGCACTTGAAGTGTGGCTAAGGTGACTGAGGAGCTGAATTTTTAAATTTTAATTCAAAGTTAAATAACTACATGCGACTAGTTGCTACCATGTTGGACAGTACAACTCTAGATGATCAAAATCTTGCTCCTATAGGACCCAGTGTTTTCCTCAGTCTGCACAGTTCTTACATCTGGATTATTTCAATTAAGATATAAATTAAGAAAATGAATTGACTAGGTTTTAGGTAAGTAGGCACTAAATTTAAAAAAAAAAATTTTTTTTATTGGGGAATTGGGGGGATGGGAACAGCACTGGGGAATTGGGGAAAGGGGAACAGACAAGTTGCTGTCCTTTTACGCTGGCTGCTGGCTACACACGGTAGCCCATGGCAACCCACTGCAGCAGGGGCTGCAGCCTACACTGTCGCCGGGTACTCACAGCAGCCCAGCTCCAGGTTGAGCTGTTGTTCAGCATCTTAGCTGTGGAGAGCGGTGTCACTGGCCCTCATATGTGGGATCCGAACCGGGGCCCTCTGGCGTCCCAAGCCAGCTCTTAACCAATGCGCCACTTGGCCGGTCAAGTACTTCCTTTCTTTTAATGGCTGAATAATGTTCTATGGTATGGATATACCACATTTTATTTGTCCATTCCACCTTTTGACTATTCCGAATACTTCTCCCATAAATATTCATATGCGAGTTTTTGTGTATATAATTAGAAGTGAAATTGTTGGGTCACATGGTAACTCTGTGTTTCATCTTTTGAGGAACTCCCAGACTGTTTTTCAAAATGGCTGCACCGTTTTAATTCCCACTAGTAGTGTCTGAGAGTTCCAATTTCTCCACATCTTCTCTAGCACTTTGTGCTTGGGGCATGGTAGGCATCCCATTTGTTTAGTGGCCAAGTGATCCAGCAGATAGAAGATGAAGCGGTGAATGAAGGCAACTATTATGAAATTAGAGAAGAATATTGGGAGAGGGGGAAGCAATAGGCCTTAGTGACTGGTAATGGGAGGGATAAGGGTGAACGTGGATTAATGACACTTTCATTCTCTTCAGTGCTGTGAATGGAGGCGGCTCCCTGCCCTTCTCCTGCATAAACTCCATGGCCCTACATGCCCAGAGGTATGTTTCCAATCTGGGAGAACCTAGCATAAGACACTCAGCTCTGCGCCTCAGTTCCCTCATCTGCAATATTAACTTCTTACAATTGTGGGACAGTTTACTTCACATACATGGATCTATTTTGGTTTTGACACTTATATGGTCATGAGACATGGGTGTGTTTATCCTCATTTTGGAAAAAAAAGGAAACTGAATTCAAAAGCCTCACTCTTCAATCGTGGTAGAGCTAAGACTCTTCCTGAAGTTTCTTGAACACGACTAATAGATGTTCTCTCCCTGACACCAGGATGCCTGTGGGTGACCTCGAAAAATGGCGTGTCTAGCTCTGTGTGTAAACTCAGGACCCTGCCATCAGAATTGGCTAAAAAGCATTGCTAAAAAGAAGGAAGGTCCTTCTGAAATCAAATGCTGTCCTTAAATTAAGCAGTATCTTTTCATGTCTATGGTTTTGACCTTTCTTAAGGAGAAGCCCTCAATCCATTATTGTATATTCAAGGAGGAAACCTGTGTGCTGGTTAAGGATGTGGGCTCTGCAGGATACACAGGATGTATCTGAAGGATTTTTTTAAATTGTAGATTCTGTATTTCTGAGGGATATGCATATTTTGAAGAACTTCCAGAAAGAAATCACCAAGATAGCAAGATATGTGTAAATAATTTTGCATGAGGAATACATGAATGAACTAATGGTTCTCACTCTGTGGGGAAAAGAGGAACATAATTGTCATAAAATCATAGGAAAGACATCTTGTAAAAGAGAATGTTTTGTGATGTTCTAAACAGGACCAGGGAGAACAAACAAAAATCACAGACAGGTAAGATTTAGGTAACTAGAAGAAAATATTTTATAATAAGTAAAATATTCAAAAATAGAATAGTTGGCCTGGTGATATATGGCTCCCTATCCACAGAGACATTTAAGTAATCGGTGTCTCCCTGTCCTGCCTATTAGGGACATTATATCCCAGGTTCTGCCTCATGTGACTGGAGTTCCATTTTTCAGAGAGCTCTTCTAGTTCTCGGGTCCTCTTACTCTAAGCACAATGTATAATTTTGATAATATAAACGGGCTTTACATTCTGTGTTTTTCAGTACAATATTTCTATTGCAAGCTAGTTCTGTCTCTTACTTTTCATCTATTTGCTAATTTTTTGGTATTATTTCAGCCACCCAGGCATTAAAGTGAACTGATTTAATTCTTCCCTTATCTTCTCTTTTTCTTCTTTCCCCAAGTCCAAGTGGTCGCCAAGTCCTGCCTCTGCATATCTGGTTTGTCTCCTCTTTTCCATTCCTAAATCAGTCCTATAAGGGTAGCCTCTTTACTGGTCACCCACTTCTAGGCTATCTCCTTCGTTCTTTATCTCATTTACCAAATGGATATATGTGGCCACTCTTATTAACTTTCCTAAAACACTGCTCTAGTAAATTCACTATTTTTTCCCCACTATTTTCTAGTAAATTCACTATTTTCATTGCTTGTAGTGACTACCAAATAAAGTCTTCCTTTTTGGGGCCCAATATCTCATTGGTACCCAATACTTATTCAAGCTTCAGGTACACAGGTTACTCATTAGTCCACCATATTTGCAGTTTCTTTTTTTTTTTTTNNGCAGTGTCACTGGCCCTCATATGTGGGATCTGAACCGGGGCCCTCTGGTGTCCCAAGCCAGCTCTTAACCAATGCGCCACTCGGCCAGCCCTGGGATTGCATTTCTTTATATAAAATTTCTATTGTACAAACAGACTATTTTAGAGTTCAAAGTTTGGAATGTACACTGTAATTCTCAATCAATGGTAAATCAATGATAAATTATTCCTGAATTTATTAGTGTTGGCAAAAGAATCTGTTGATTAAAGTAATTTCAGGGTTGAGTATAGGGAAATTACATTTCAGGATATTTCTGAGTTGCTTTTTCTTATTTTTTAATTCTAGTACTTTACAATTTTTTTAGAATAGTTACTTTTTTTGTTATAGTTGAGCAAAAATATTATTTGTATTGTTGCTGTTATATGTTTGTCGGATCTCTGTAATACAGACATCTCAATTCTTTTGACATCTAATATTAAAATCTGAAAGAATTTTGAGGAAGAGAATGAAATTTATTCACATATGTTATGCAGATGCCAGTTTTAACATGGGAACCAAGTCTTTAATTGAAATTGCTTAATATGACATCACCTCAGAAGCAGAGATTTCCAAATTAGATCATATGATACTAACAGCTGTTTGTGTTTGGTATTAAAGAGTTCAATGTGTGCTTAAAAATTTAGCAAAGAGATTGAATCAATGTGGCAGATGGGGAATAAGTTATAGCCTCTCCTGAACCCTCCCCTCCCCTTTCCAAAATCTCTAAAAATTATAGGAAAGTCAGCTGGGTAAACACGCTCATGTGCACCCATGCACATACCTTGATATTGAAAAACATGAAGGGGTACTCAAATGAACGAGACACTATAAGAATTTTTGAGATATAGAAAGAAAATGGGGTTGTATTGAAGGCGGACAAATAAAAATTGCATAACGGGTATACAGAAGTAGGAGTGCTCTTGGGAGTGTTCCAAGCACACAGAAAGAAGCT